AGGGAGGAGGTCACATATAGATCCTTGTAATCGGTTCCCTCTTTCCAACCCATTCTCCCTCTACCCTCCCAGTATCACCACTCACTACAGTCTCAGAAACCCACAGGGCAGTTCTACCCTGTCCTCTCGGATCGCTGGGTATCAACTTCAACCCGATGGCAGAGAATCTGAGTCTGAGTTACCTCTGACCTGAGCAAGCAGCCAGCTGGACCGCTGAGCATCTGCCTGCCCTTCGTGACTTCTGTCTGCAGCCAGTTTTCACCGGCTTGGCAAGAGGGTCCAGAGAGGTCCACTTCTCTTAGGAAGGGGTCTCAGTGACACTTGATGCTCCGTGAATATGTTCTTCTGTCCCCTGCCCCGCAGCCCCGCCTCGGTCCTCATTCTCTCTCCTGTCCCCTGCTGCCGCATGTCCCATCCACTGCGGTAGGGGGAGGACAGAGTGCTGATGATGGGAGTGGCTGGTGGGTCATTTTGACCCCATCAGGAGGGTAGGTGTGGCAGGGCAGGTAGGCTAGGTCCCACTGTGGAACACCCTCATGTCCCAGGTGAGCTCTAGAGAGACTTCTCTGACTTCCTGGAGGGTCACCACAAGGCCAGGCTCCATGCTCCCCTGCACTCACAGCCCCCATCCTGGGGCCCCTGACCATAGCCCTGACCCCACCCCTCTTCTCTGTAGGAGGTGGCCGTGGCCACTGTCATCTGCAAAAACAAGCTGCAGGGCATCGAGGTTGGAAGCTTCATGGGGGGCGACGTGGGCATCTACACCAACATCTACAAGTACGTGTCCTGGATTGAGGCCGTCACCAAAGACAAGTGAGACTGGCACTCCCTCTGCGCCCTGGCACTGCCCACACAACCGTTCCCGTCCCCAGGCCCAAAATAAAGCCCCTGTACCTCAACAGCCTGTGTCCCCGTCTATGTCTCTGCCCAGCACAGCCGAGGGTGTGTGGAGTGCTGGCTGCATTCTGCTGGATCACGGTCACACTCAGAGGAGGGGGTGACAGGACCCACAACGGAGCCAGCCAGTACCAGAACCCACTGCCAGCTGGCTTCAGGGTGGCTTCTGTCCCCAGCATTCAAAGCCACCTCATCTAAGGGACACCATGTTCTCAACGAAAGCAAGTGCTCCACTGGACTAGATGGACCAAGTGGTCCCCGCAGGAGAACTTCAGAAAAACCACTGTGGGTCCACTTGAGTAGCAGCTAAAGAAAGATGCTGGCTTAGATCCCTGGGGTGGAACAGTGAGCAATCTTGGGATGAGAATGTTGATAGTTTGGCTTGATCAGAGGGTTATGCACCTGACCTTGTCTAAGGCAGTAAGAGAAGAATTCCCAGTTAGACAAATCTGTGTTCAGTGACCAGTTAGGCTGAGTGAAGAAGTCCGAGAGAAGGTCAAGTAGCACAGTGGTTAGAAGTTGGCCTTTTAACCACAAGGTCTGCAGTTTGAAACCAGGGAACGCTGGTCGACCCTATGACCCTAATGAGCATGTGCACGAGTCCCACGGGTCGCCCTAACAGGACTCCCGGTCAACCCCTCTAATGGCAGCGAGGCAAGATTCCCTCT